CCCTGAGTTTGCAACCTTGTTTGGCCCGCCTTCCCGCGTTCTTGTGGTCTTTCAGCTCCCCCTGGTGTTATTGTCTTTGATTTTAGCAGGATCACTTCTAAATTTTTCTCCGACTTTGCCATCTCCTCTACTATCTACGCCAGCTATCATCCACCCAGTCCATCCATCTCTCTCTTTCTCCATCCTTCCCTCCCTCTCTATTTTGTGTTAGTCACTGTGCAAGCCATTGGGACAGCACATGAATTACAATGGCCTAACTTTCCTGGGATCCTTGAGACATGGAAGACAGGTATTATGCTCCCAGGAATGCTGTAATAGAGGTATGACTCAGAACATCAGGCAACTAAAAGCACTTGGCAAGCATGGGGGGAGGAACAGAGTGCAGTCAGTCACTCCAGAGGATAGGAAATTTGAGGACAGCCGCTCTGAAGGATGGGCAGAAGTGGGGAAAGGACGTCCTAAAGACTGCGTAAGGCAAAGTAGTAAGTACATCCTGTTCTCAAGTGCTTGTGGGTTAGATGGCAGGAGAAGGAGAACTGCGGAGGACTAGAAGGGATTGTGGAGATTTTGTGTAGCAAGTGAAAGAAAGAGCCTGAGGAACCGGTCCTGTTAATTTAATTTAAATTTTCTGCTAGGGCCTCAAACATGCTTGGCAAGTGTCACCACTGAGCTATATCCCTACCCCCAGCCCAGGAGATATTTGATTTTGATTTTGTTTTTCACCAGAAGAATGTAGTAATGAAGAGCTGGAGAGATGGCTCAGAGGTTAAGAACACCGACTGCTCCGCCAGAGGTCCTGAGTTCAATTCCCAGCAACCGTATGGTGGCTCACAATCATCCTTATAAGATCTGGTGCCCTCTTCTAGTGTGCAGCTGTACATGGAAGCAGAATATTGTATACATAATAAATAGATAAAAAATCTTAAAAAAAGAATGTAGTAATGAAATTTCTGGTTTTGGGTAACGTGGAGTATGGTGGGGAGGGAGGAAGACTGATAGAAATAAGCTGGCCATGAGAAATCGGTAAACGATGGCATGGAAGAGAAAAGAGGGGCCATATTAGAGGTTCATTTCTGGGGTGACATTGACTGGGTTTGGGGGAGGATGAAGGATGGCTGATATTTCTAGACAGGTTTTTCTCCTCTTTGTCTTTTTGTACTCTTCCCCATTTTCCTCAGATGGAATACCTTTGTGCTTTTCTCTTTACTTGTCCACTGATTGTCCATGAGACGAAAATCTCAAATCCCCTTTAATTTTCAAACAGAGGCCTTGCTCAACACCTGTTACCTGCCCTGCCCAGTTCTATTGTCATCTCTTCAGTTTACTCTTTTTTTATTATTAAAATTTATTTTTTGTGTATGAGATTTGGCCTGCATGTATGTATGTTCACCACTGTTTGTGTACATAGTCCGATGAAGGCATCAGAGTTCCTGGACCTGGAGTTACAGTTATAAACCTCCATGTGGGCCAGGCATTGGTGGTGCACGCCTTTAATCCCAGCACTGGGGAGGCAGAGGCAGGCGGATCTCTGTGAATTTGAGACCAGCCTAGTCTACAAGAACTAGTTCCAGGACAGGTTCCAAAGCTACACAGAGAAACCCTGTCTCCAAAAATCAAAATGAACAAAAAAACTTCCATGTGGGTGCTAGGGATTGAACTCAGATCCTCTGTATAACAAGTGCTCTTAACCATGGAGTCATCTTCCTAGCCCCAATTTGACTCTTTGAGACAGGTCTCACTACTTAGGCCTGGCTGGCCTAGAACTTGCTGTGTAGACATGGGTGGCCTTGAACCCACAGGGATCCGCTTTCCTCTGCCTCTTGAGTGCTAAGACTAAGGGTGTGAAACACCAAATTCAGCCTAAGTTTATTCCTAAGGTTTTAGCAATATTTTTTTTTTTGACTCACGAATGGCTTTTTTTTTTTTCAAGTTTGAACTTTGTCAAATGGGTCATGATCAAAGGTAACACAGTGGTATTTGAGGGCAAAGGACATAGCTTAATTGATGGAGTGCTTGCCTAGCACACATAAAAACCCTGTATTGGATCCCTGGCATTGTGCAAAACTGACTGTGGTAGTGTATTGGGAATCAAAAATTTAAGGACATACTCAGCCACATATCAAGTTTGAGATTGACTAGCTTGGGCTACTTGAAGCATTGTCTGAAACACACATATCACACACACACACACACATACAAACACATACACACACCAACAAAATGTAACAATAACCAACATCAACAAAATTATAAAGAGCTATTGGTAAGAGTAAAGAGAAAGGTAATGGGGCTGGAGAGATGACTCAGTGATTAAGAGCACTGCTTATTCTTCCGGAGGACCCAGGTTCAATTCCCAGAACCCACATAGCAGCTCACAACTGTCTAATTCAAGTTCCAGGGGACCTGACACCTATGGCAAAACACCAATGCACATAAAATAAAATTAAATAAATTTAAATAAAAAAGTAATGGTCTG